CCCCAAAACCCCAAAACCCCAAAACCCCATCGATCAGAAATAGAACTGAATACAGAATATTAGAATTTAAATGAATAGCAAGTTCTTTAATTAAAGATCAGCATTTTCGTCTCTAGGTCAGAAACACCCTAGGTACCGTTCATCCCCTCAAAGAATAAATCCTTACTGCTTTTGAGTTACCTCTAAGTGTCTTCATAGAGAGACTATACCCTGTTCCTATCTCTGCCATGCAGGCGAGTAGCATTCTTCTGGCTGTTCACATTGCTATTACTATTTAGGACTTGAGTCTGCTGCAGTTTGTCTTTTCTTCCAGGAGAGTTATCGAACCTCCGATCAGATACATTGCTCACTCCAAATAATAAATCATTCAGATCTGAGTCTAACGACTGGTTTCGCTGCTTGTTTTATGTTGTTGAGTCGAATTGCTTCAACACTGAGTTATTTTCACGGTACATTGTCTAGGCCTATTGCCTCAACCTGCTGTTATATTTAATGTTGTTTTTCTAGGTCTGAGGGCCTTTCTCCTTGCCTAAATGGATGCTAGAGGTATTCAATGATTAATCTACAGAGTTTATCTATTTCAATTGCAGCGTTGCAGTCCCAGAGTACATACTATCTCTATTCATTCTCCACTGATAGTGATTAGACTCATCAGCACTGCTTGTATTATGCATGAATATTTACTACTGCACCTGTGGCGATTGCAGCTGATAGAGCGGACTTATACTGTCGCGATCTTCCATGCCATCTTCGTTTTCAAATAGCCCTCCTGGAGCGTTAGTTCTGCTTCTTTGATCTTAGGACTTGAACTTTCTCATGTGAAGATTGGAGTGAGATATCTTGTTTAGCTCTAGTTAAGTTTCTGATTGAGGATCATACGTCGTACAGCAATTTCCCATTTCTCTATATAAGCTTTCTTTAACAATAATGTCAATATTTAATTAATAAATAAGAGAAAGATGACGAACTAAATATAATTTAAAAATTAAATTTCATTCATTATCATTATTTCTGTTCTAAGGGGTTTTGGGGTTTTGGGGTTTTGGGG